CAAATGTGATTTTTCTACATCTGAAATAGATTGTTTGCTGGGTACATGAAAACCTGTGATATTTATATTGTTCACGAGGTTTTGTCGGTAAGATAATTTCAGCAGCATATTTTATAAAATTGTTAAGTCTTCAGTCATTATAAAATTTTTTTTATTGATCTAACTAAACTAAGCCTAAAATAAAAAAGAAAATTAAGAATGGAGTTAAGTTAAAAGTGTGTTATTTCTATCCAATTGCACAAAAACTTACTGACTTGCTCGCTCCAAAGAAATTCGCAAAGAGTAAAGTCAAGCTCAGGCACGATCTATTATAAAAGTACTTAAATAAAAACAATCAAAAAAGTTAAATTTAAATTGAACCAATAATCCTTTTCTCCCTCTGGAGAAGAACGATGAAAGAAATAATTTGTGCACAAATCACAACATACGTATTACGGATTTTAATAAAACTGCACCAAGGTTTCAAAGTAAATGCTTGAACGGCATTAACTAAGATTAAAACTTATCCGACGGAATTGATGAATTAAAAAGTAAAGTTTTGAAATTCGATTAGGGCCAAGTGGTTTCGTCAGTTTGTTTCAAGACACGTATTGGAGACGTCAAGGATGAACCCCTCAAAATTTATCCGTTGGACGTGCACCTCAAAAAAAAACATTCGTTTGTGATTTGGTTTTCTAACAGTTTTGTCGAACAGAATTTACTATTGAAAATTCATATGCAGCTGAAAATTCAAAAAAATCAGTATTTAATTGCACTGATTGAGGACTATCGTTGAAGGATAGAATGAAAACTGTTTGAAAGAATCAAAAAAAGATCTGTCTTGTTTCCGTGGTTACAGGATAATGCAGAAAATCGTGCCTTGCGATTGGGATTTTTTTTTCAAATTCTCCTTCCTGATGGTAACTTTTGAAGCCTTGAACGGCCTAAACAACGCCCAATAATTCTAGAACGTTTAATAAGTACATTGCTTTGTGAGGGTTTAAAATCTGCTCGTGAATGAGACCGATCACCAATCACTCCCATGGTGATATTAAAGCGAACCACCTAACCCTTGTTTTTAACTTAACATCAAAGTTTGTATTTGTTTTCTGTCAGGTTAAATCTTTCGAATTTTAATTCTTTAAAGCGACAGTATATTCAATCGATAAGTTGAATATTGTTTTCATGATTATTAGTGGTCTTAAACAATTTCAAAACTACGCAAAATTTCAGACGATTTTTGTAAATTAGTTGGTCGATCAAAAGAATGAACAGAGTTCTTTTAGATTTCGAAAGGTTGGTAAAGATTTAATTGGAACAGTTTTCTCTTCTAACGAGATTACTTCTTAAATACTTAAAAATTGGATGCTTCTGTTACTAATTACCCTTCTCTCCACTATGTTTTATTTTGCGAAGTTTGCTCGTGAATTGATCTAAAGTTATCTCAAAATGTATATATATTTTTGAAATCTAAATATGTTAACCAACTTCTCTACTGGACTTTTGAGATTAATGAGATGCCACGCTGTCTGTCAGTTCGTAAATGTTCAGTATTTGGTGTTTCTTCCTGGAAAGTTAATGAATAATGAAATTTGAGTCTTGAGCTAGTTTTAATGACTTATCTAATCGGCAAGTAATGATCTTTGGGCTTATAAAGCTGTCTTAATCCCAGTTTTCTTATTTCTTAATATATCTTTTGGGTAACAACCCATCCAATTTTTGATTTACTGCTGGTAACAGGTGTTAAGATAACATTCTTTTTTTAAAAAAATGAATAGTTTTAGGGGCTGGTGAAAATGCGTAACAATCATTCGTGATGAAAATGCAACTTTGTCGAATGAGCACCTGTTGCATCTGATTGGGAATAAAACTTTTTTTATCGGGTCGTTTGTAAGATCGCAATAAAAATTTTTAGTTGCTCATTCTACTGGGTCAATTTTCATTTAAGGGCTAGTAACTTTATTTCGTGAAGTACGTTCTTATTTAAGAAAATCACCGGACTTGCCAAGTTAACTTGCATATTTAATCAAACAAAAAGTTCCTTTTCCAATCCGATGTTTAGCTATTTCTTTAAATCCTTTCCTTCGTCATCAAATGCTGTCGTTAAACTGAGCATTAAATAAATGTCGAAATTGAATCTTGAACAGAAAGCATCTCCTGCTGGACATACTGGTAGTTATCACTCAAAAAATTTTCGCCATAATTCATGCAATAATTCCCTCTGTCTAACGTGGGTTCTTTTTTGTTATAAAGTTCTGGTGGTAACTTACAGAAGTTTTATGCGCAGTACACAGGTTTGAAATTGGTGTTCATCATGAGATGTTTTGAAGTCGCGTTTTTGTATATTAAACCTATGTTTTGGGCTTCGTGGGATGGTAGGTTGTCCTTGTGCAGTTTCCTCTAAATCTCCTAGTTCTTCAAATTGTTAATTAGAAAAAGTCAAGTCCACTCTTCTTCTCCACTGTATATGTCTCATTTAATGGCCACCTCTGCTAACCTACCTTAAAACTGCTCTAGTCTTTCTCTTTTATATTGGCATCTGTACAAGTGTTTGTGGTGTTTAAATGTAACATTTGGCTTACTAATTAATGCTTGATATAGATATTCCCAGAACTCTGAGAAACTGATATCAAGGATTTTGTTTTTTGAAAGCTTTTGGAAAAAACTGCGTTTTCCTTTGTTTTTCAGTGCCAAATAGAATATTAAGCGGGTCTTTTGTCTGCTTCTTCCTTACGCATACCCTTGAAAGTCTTCGTCTCCAGTTCGATGCTAGCGTTTTCGCATTCGTCAAAACGTTTTTTTTGTCCTAATTTCTAGCCAACTGTTCGTTTTGTGCCTGGGAGGATTCGATTTGCTCTTTTTCTATCTGTAGAAAATATGTTTTCATCAATTCCAATGGATGTAATAGGTTTTCAATATCACTCCCACTTTCCTAAGGGATTGAGGTGCCAATAGTGTGAATTTATTAGAATGGGAAGTTCTTCTCATGCCAGATTAGTTTACAGATGACTGCGCAATATTAAAATGTTCTACTGATCCAGCTAAAATTGGCTTAAGTTGCAACAAGTGAGAATGGAGTTCAAATAAATGCGTGTTATTTCTATCTGAACTCAGAAAAACTGACTCACTCACTTACTTCGAAGGAGGTCGCTAATAACAAAATCGAGGCCACTCCCGTTATGTTTAAAGAAAAATTAAACGAAAAAGACCTAATGCAAAAGTTTTGTGGAAAAGAAAGGAAGAGGGTTAGAATGTGAGAAGCGTCTAGATTTGTGTAATTTGATAACAAATAACCATAGCTAAAGTTTCACTCATTTCGCTATAGTCAGAATGAAAAGGTCCAAAGACAGCACGATTTGCTTTCCAGTTTTCTTGTCTTAGATGATAGAGTCTACTACGGGTAAAATTAGGACTCGTTAAGCGTTTAATTGAAAACTTTTTCATGATTCATCATATAGTATTTGAGCCAACACAAAAATATCGTCTTCTCTCAAAATGTTTTCTAACTGAGATTTTTTTGTGCTGACAAAACCATTGAAGTAAAAAAAGACTAAATTTGCTAGCTAATGATAGTTAGAAGAAACTATCGCTAGCTCTAAAATGAAAAGAACTCGGCCATTTACTCTTTTAATAGTAAAACCAGTCTACAAATCACAGCATTTGATTTTGTTCATCTTAGCATTTGCAAAAAAAGGTTTTGTATCTCAGAAATTTAATAAGATTTCGTTTTCAACCATCTAAGTAATTTAAATTTTATGAATCATTTATGATCTAAGACCGCAGTACTTTCAGCGCGAAAGCAAAGAGTTGAGAGGTAGAAAAGACAATATTAACTTCAATATACTGAAGTTCGATCTTTCTTTGCTCAACCATTTCGCATTTTGTACCAATTTTGTTTCAAATTAATAGATGGAAATCTGTTTCGGTACCTCCGAATAAATGCCCAGAATTGATTAAGTAAACGGCACAGTAAATATGTCCCAATACAACATAATACCTTACTTCAGAAACTTGAGATTTTAAACACCTTTTATACCAGAATTTCCCGATTTTCTTCTTGGACTTTAATCTTTGTCATAATATTATAAACCGGCTAACTTGTATTCATAACCAGTCTTGCGCAGTCAGTTTTAGTGTTACCAGTCGCGAATTAAAATATTTTCTCTATTTAGAAAAGAAGGAAAGCTTTCGCCAACTTTGGACACCAACTTTAGGATTCGAAGTTTTGGATCTCGTGAAATTCCTACTCCAGTTCAAAGAATTTTGGAATACAAATTTCTAAAAAAAATTAATCACAAAATATCGCTGACTTCCACAATTATCGTCGAAATGAGCTTTTAATGACCGTCTAAATATTCCGTCGAAATGAGCTTCTAATTCGATCTCAAAAACAACATTTTAGCTATAGAAGACAAAAAAGCAGTGAAAAATTCAAAAAACCGATAAATTCTTTGTCAAATTTCTGTTTGACGAGGAATTAAATGACTCTGAAGTGAAAATCTAGAAAATTGAAGTTATGGAGTTCAAACAAGTGTTCTTGAGTCACTGTGTTCGGACTATGGGTTCGGCCGCGATGAAGTTAAACGAAATGCTTCGTGAAAAGGATTTCACGACCTTCATTTGCGTTTCACTCGAGCCCGGGGATGCCTTTCGCGACAGGGATCAAGTTCAAGTTAAATGTCTACAAAAACTGAAAAAATCTTTTGATGACTAATTTTTCCATAACATTATGCGTCCTTCATTTTTTAGTTTTTAGTTTTTTGGGTTAATTAATTCATCCTTAGTTCAACTTGGATGGCAAACACCTCAATGCACAAATTGATATTACAAAAAAAAAACCAAAAATGATTTTTTTGAAGTAATGGCGAATCAATATCTTGTTTATTTTTTATTTTTAGAAAAGAGTATAATCCAGAGCCTTTGAAAATACCTTTTTTCTCAAAATTTTTGAGCTTCAGTTAGAATCTCTGGAATTTGCTGGTCTTCATATTTTAACTTGATCCCAATATCCCAATACAGTATCATCGCCAACGCTTCGAATTGCAAAATTATGATTGTGTTCCTAGACGAGGGCTGGGCGAAAAGTGGCGAATGCAAAGCCGAGTTCAACTGCGCCTACTCGTGTTTCAACAGAAACGAAGCTCCCCTCATTATTCCTATAGTGGTCGGAGGATTCGAGTGGATAGATCCGGAAGTTTATTATCACGCTCATGCACTGAAAGCTAATTTCCAATGCCAATCTATTCGTTCAAGTAAGTTTTGATCTATTTAAGATTGCTGACTCATAATTATGCCGACAACAGAGGGATTCGAACCCTCAATGTTCTGATTTGAAGTCAAAAGTTAGGGGCATTGATCCCTTTGTGGTCGCCAGATTGCACAGACGATTGAAGTTTATCATCTTTAAAGATCTTTTCAAATGAGAGTTATATTAATCAGTTTTTAAAACTGTTATGGAATCATTAGTAAAAATAATTTGGGTGGTGACAGTTTTTTTGGCGATTACCGAGCCAATCCAGTCAATATTTAAAATATTTCTGATTGGATCAAAAAAGAGAATAAACATTTTGTAAAATCCGCAAAAAAAAACTTTTTTTATGCTTTGGATCGCTATAACAAACTTGTTCATAGAAAAACAACCACACTATCTTGCCTAGTAATCAGGGGCGGATTTAGGGGAGTCGTTATTTCTGTGGGGTGTAGGAAAAAATTCTAAACAGAAAACAAAATTGAGCAAAGTCGACAATCATAATAAAAACTGCTGATTGGAAAACATGTTTTCTCGAAAAAAAAAACAAAAAAAATCCTACAATAAGTTTTAATTTCACAAATTTTTTCTAATTTTTCCCAGTTTTTTTTTGAAGTTTGAATCTTTTCATTCCCAAACTGGCGCTGAAAACAAAATAAATTAACTTTGCTCGAGTGAAACTAAGTTTTCATGGTTTATAAACTTAAGTCAGCTATTAAAAGCCTGCATGCTGGCTTTACTAGCTGGAAGCTAGACCAAAAATCAAAAGAATGTCAAATCTATTTTTCTGAACACTGAGCTGAGAAAAATTTTTTGATGTTCAAATCAACACTGAAAGGCCTGTTTTTATATGATATATAACTCTACTCAGTCTAATGACTATTTGTGGTACATGGTTTTGCGTGAAAAACAAACAAAGAGGAAAAACTAAAACACATCCGAATACAAAGTTCCTCCGCATTTTTCAAACCGCGGAACAATAAATAGACAAATAAAAAACATGAATGAATTGATTGAAAACTAAATAAACGAATAATTAAGTAAAAAACCAATAAGTAGAAAATGAATGGTTAATTGAGTAAATATATAACTTTTTTGATAATTGATAAAAAACCGCAATCTATAAGTAAATAAATATAAAAATAAGCAAATAATCAATATATTTCAAAATAAACAAAACCTTTTGATGAGTAAGAGGTTTGCACATTCGAGATTTTTCGTAAAACATTTATTTTTTTTGACATGGTCGTTTAAAAGTTTAATTGAACAGATTTGACGAAACTTCGGCCTTTGCAGCTAATGTTTTACCTGGCTTACAGAAACTGACTTTAATGGGTTATAACAACATTGATGGCTATCAATCTCTTCCGTTAAAACATAATACGGTGAGCAAAAATTGAGCGGCCCAGCCAATAACATTAATTGTTTTGCAAACTCCCTTAAAAAACTCAAAACATGTTTTTTTCATCTCGAAATTTTACAACAGTTGCATTTGAGAGATGAATTGTAATTAGTGAGAACTTAACAAAAAAGCTTTCTGCAGTTCGTTTTTTTTATTAAACAATTTTAAATTGATTAGTTTACCATTTAAAAAAATAAAGTTTTTTATTGGAACTAAATGCTCAGTGACTGTTAGATGTTTTTGATTTTTTTTTACCTAGAATTAATGTCACTAGAAAAAAACAAATGTCTCTCTTGAATATTTCATGACATGAAAAAAATTATCCATAAAAAAGATAAACTTCATGAATAACCCCTAAGTAATTCAAATTATAATGAAAAAATGCGCAATTTCAATCAGAATAGTTCAACACTCCGAGCAAAAATTTTAAAAAAGCTACATAAAATAGATAAAACAATAGTAAAGTTTTTGCAATTAAAAAAATTTTAACATTAATTCCAACTTTAGGCTGAAAAAATTTTGTCTGTAATCTATAGTCTATAAACTTCAAGACAGGTTTTTTTCATCTGGAATCTTTACAACAGATTCATCTCAAATATCGAGATGGGTTTTAGTTAGTGAGGAACGTAACAAAGATGTTTTCTGCAATTCGTTTTTTTCCGATTAGATAATTTTAAATTGATTAGATTGCCATTTAAAAAAATTGAGTCTTCCATTTGATAGATATTGGTCTCTTTTTTCCGCTTTCAGACTCAGGCTCACAAAAATTACACGTAGAGAAAATTGTAGAATAGCTTAGCATTTATTTGCTTTTTTCTTCTTTCAACCGATTTCGATTGCTCTTTGAAAACCACTGATTAAGCATACAATTTTGTTTGATGAAAAAAATAAAGAATTTTTGACTTTTGTTTTTCAAAAAATAGATCCAAGAATGTTCAAATTTTTATCAAAAAAAATTATATTTATCGTTTTCTTCAATAAAGTGCAAAAATGCTGAGAAACGGGCGAATAATTGCCAAAATAATCTATAAACTGCGCTCTCTGTAGCTTTCGTGTAAATTATTCTAATAACGGCAAAGATGAGATCAAATTTTCTCATCACTTAGACAAAATTTTTGAATTATTTTGGAGTCCAAATCACAATTATTATATCTTATCTTAAATTCCGGGCAAAAGTTCGTCACGAAATGTTCAATTAAAGCAGGGCTTTTATCAAATTTATCAGGGATTTTAGCTCGGCCACATGACCTGCTACTTTCTAATAGTTTAGCAAACGAATTCAAAGCAAAACTTGTTAAAACAAGTGCTAATTTGCATTGTGTTGCTACGATTTTTGTGTATAATCGAAGCATGTTTATCTCGTTGCGATTGATCAGTGAGCTGATTTCTGGTTTTTTCTTTCCAGAAATGGTTTTTTTTCTACTAAAACGAGAAATATACCATTTCTGTACAGGAAATAGGAAAAAACTTAGGCAGATAATCTATATACCATTTCTATCTAGAAAACAGCCTTCGTTGGGTTCGGGTATCTAGAACTGGGATTATGTTTTAGGCGCCAAATAATTCATTTACTTTTTTAAGGAATTGTTGCCAGACCGCTCACAGAAGTAAAAAAAAAGTAATTGAGGTTTAAGTTGGTCTAATTTTTGTAGGTTTTGTCAGTTTTTTTTAAATTAAACATTTGTTTAGACGAAGTGGATGAAAACTGTTTGGAAGTATTCGGAACAATTGTCGCTAAATGCAAAAAAATGCTCCCTGCAAAAATGCCTAAAAGCGATCAAGATAATACTGACGGAAAATCAAGCAAACAAATTCGGTATAACGAATTAATAAACAGTTTCATTACATGTGAAATTTGCCAGGAAGTTTTCAAGGATCCTAAGATGCTGCCATGCAATCACACTTTCTGCAAAATTTGTCTGGAAAAGTGGAAAACATCACGAAATAATAGTGATTTTACCTGCCCAAAATGTAGAATTATCTGCAAAGACACGAGTATCGAAACTCTACCTTCAGACTTTAAAGCCAATCAGTTTATAGACGCTTTGAAAACAGAAGATTATGTACTAAGTAAGCCATCAACGAGCTGTTCAAATTTGGCTGAGTGGTTTAAAAATAACACAATTCCAGAAGATATCCAAAAAATTCTGGTCGACGAAGGATTTGACTCTCTGGAACTGATATCAGAACTTAAGCCAAAGGATTTGGAATCAATTCCAGGATTGAAATCTGGCCATAGATTGAAGCTGCAAAAAAGTATCGAGAAAAGTCAGCCAAAAGAAGATGACATTTTGGAAGAATGTGATGAACTTCATCTGGATAGTATTTATGATGACCGAACATTGACAACTGGCACAACTCCAGTTGATACTTTGAAATTTTGGTCTGGACTTTCGAGCTCCGAACGCGAAGAGTTTCTAATCAACCTAAAAAAGTTAGCAACAAAAATTAAGAAAGCAAACTATGTCTCGAAACAAGTGAAGGCTAATAAATTGCATAGAATAGCGATGGTTTTATGCGACGCAGGGTTGTTTTCAGATGCTGAAATTATAGCTATCGATTCTATGACATTTGCTAAACCCGACAGTACGGAGTACTATTCGACTAATGTCTTGTTGCTGTACGCGTTAATGAATCGAGTTAAACAAAATACAACTTGGATTGGCGCCGAGCAGCTGGAATCGTGGAAGAATCATTTGGCAAAATGTGACGACGTTTTGAAAAAAGGCGGGAAGTTTTTGAGTGATGCGATGAAATGTAAAGTGATGATTATGAAGTTGTTTGCGATGCGAGCAATCAAAGCAAGAGACAGGTGAGTTGATTTTTACGGGGGGGTAGGAATTTTAAGGTGGATTCGAAACTCCAGAACGAATTGAGAGATCAAAAAGGTGTGATAAAACAAAAGATTTTTTGTCTGCTGTGAGTATTTAAATTTTTCAAAGTACTGGTGAAAAAACAGGAATTGAGCTTTAGTTTTTTCATACAACTATTTCGTAAATACAGTTTGCATTTTTTTTACCGCTCAAACCATTTCGCTATTTGGGTTCAAAATTGTTGAAAATTCTCGCCGTGCGCAACCTCGAAGAACCAAAAACAAATCGCAATTATAAATTGAAAAATCAAAAAAATGTTTTTGATCAAGTAGTTGTAACCGAACGAATCTTTTCAGTGCCTACAAACCAGATATAACATCCGTAATGTCCTTCGCCTCTAAGGCGGCCAAAGCACAAGAGGACAAAGGACTCTATGCCGAATATGTCATGACCGAAGCCCTTCTGGACATAATGAATCCAAAACCGAGTCGCCAGAAGCGAATCCAGAAACTGCTGGAGGCGAGGAAACTGTGCGATTCGGCTTATGGGGAGTTCAGCATACTGATGTCCAGGATATATCACAATTTAGGTAATTTTCTTAGTAAACCGTAGAGAACCTCTTCAATTTCAGCTCCAGATTTTGTTGAAAAAAAAAGAGAAATGAAATGTAAGAAAAAGGATATCTGGTTGTAAATTAGGTGAAACAAGTAAAAACGAAGCGAGACAAGTGTAAATTAAAACAAAACAAAGAAATAAGGAAAAATCAAAAATTGGGAAAACACGAGAAACTAAAAAAATAACACGGAAAACACGTTTTTTTTCTGACAATTTTGGATTTTTTCCTTTATGCTTTCTCGCTCTGTCTTGCTGGGTATTGCGAGTGGTTTCAATTAGGTATTATTCTGCATAATTGGGTGATTCTGGCGAAACTAACTTTGATAGCACAGAAATAGAAAAAAAGGCATCATTTGTCTGAATCGCTCAATTATTTCAGTATTATCTAGAGTTCATTAAATGCAAATTAACCTTGGAAAATGTTTAACCTTGGATTAACTTTGGAAAATGTTGACCAAAAAATCGTGCTTTTTCTGCCTGTTCCCCAGTCAGCAGTAATTATTTAAAACTAATTAGGCGGCGCCTTTGAAGAAAAACGCAGATTAGACCTGGCCTACGAATGCTTCCGAAGATGCTGGCTGATACACATGCAGCTCTACGGAATCCACCATCCTGAAAGAAAAAAGTCAGCAGAAATTTTACTGGAAGACACATACAAAGAACTGGCTAAAAACAAAGGAGACTCGCTCCCTGGAGATGATAATTTGGGAACTATGGATCTGGACTTCACTATCAGACTTCAAGGAGTGATCGGATACTAGCGAAACACTACAAATTGATAAAAAAAATAAACAAGTAATGTCAGTGGGTTATGGGAAAGAATCCTATATTCTCATAACTGACTTTCATTTTTAAGCAAAATACAATAAAACATTGCTGCACGCTTATAACAATTATAATTAATCAATTTTCAGTACGAATCATTAGGCATGTATTTTGTTTAGTTTCTTCAAATTTAATTTGTTTTATTAGAATTATGACCTTAAACTTTTTATATGATTCTTATATTTTAGTTTCTATAACCTTTTTTTTGTGAATAAATTATCTTTTTTGAACACAAGTTTTTTGAAAAATTTGGTCTCTTCACAACCACCGCAAAACTTTTGCTTAATTCGCATTGTTTAGTAATTCCCACAATTCACCATTAACCCAATAATCTTGCAGCTAATTGTTGCATGCTACGAAATGACGTTTGGTTTGAATTTCTGCCTTTCAAATTTGCTGCGAAGCTTACTTATAGTTTCATGTAAAAAATTGTAAGCTGCTTGAATCGCCTAAATTGTTTTCTGATTGGAGCAGCTATTTTGCAATGCACCTGACCTGTAATCAAAATCACTGTACTTGCTCTGAACAATTGTTTCTTCTGATTTTTTGGTTCTGGATCGTTTTTCTGGTAGTTTTCTTTTTGTTTTTCACAGCAATTCGCAGCAATTTTTAAAAGCGACAATTCAAACAAAGGTTTATACAATTCAAATTATACGGTTTTTCTTAATAAATTTTGATCTCATTTTCACAGATTGTCTTTATTCTCCGCCTGTTTGCTCTGCGTTAAGACAACTGGTTTTATACTAACAACAAAAAATCTTTTTTGTTCCTTTGAATAACCTCAGAAAACTAATTTCAACAATTCGCAACGAAAATCATTTCACAATAAAAGATAAATCACCCTAAAAGACTACCCGCAAAATAATTGCGACATAGTTCTCAAAAACAAACTTACAAGAATAAAAGCCAGTTATAGCTGCAAAATGGCAACGTGAGCGTAGCGCGCCCATCGTTGACTTTAAGCTAATCACTCAAAGATTCAAAACACTTAGTATTTAAAATGTTGCAATTTTTTCGATTTGTCTTTTTCATTAGTTTTGGCTGCGGGTTGCCTTTGATACAAGTCTTTTATCCAAAATAAGGCAAATTAGCAATTTTTAAACCTCCATGTGTTTACAAACAAAAGACTGAAAATAAAGTTTTTTTTACATTTTGTTTGCTCGTACAAACTTAAGATTTTCGGCTAGGCCTAATCGTTAAATATTTTTTGTATGAGAAGCACATTTGATGCTAGGTTTTAAAAATGGTTGGCAGAATAGTTAACAAGATCCATTTTTTTTCAGATGATATAAGAAAAAAAAAGATCAATATGGCTACTTGACTCACTACAATTTGTGAGAACAAAAAATTACACCGAGCACGAAAATTTGAAAAAAGACATTATCAGTAAAGCAATTTGAAAACTTTCACATTTCAAAAACAATTTCGATTTTGCTATATAGTGACAACTCTTAGTACTTTTTGGTTCTGGGTACTTTGAACTGGTGCTTGCAATGAAAGATCTTAACTAAAAGAAATGATATTTCTTTGTTCCGAAAGTTCTAGTGATAACTTTCAATTTTCAATTTGTCCATCTTCTAGATTTTCACAAACCTCATAACGAAGAAAAAATAGAAGTATCAAAAATTATTATAAAAAATTGTGAAAGCTGGTTTGCAGCAAATAACTATTTTTCTCTGGTCGGAACTGATATCAGATGGAAAAAACTAGACGTCTGGACTAGCACGATATAGATGAAGTGATTTTGCGATTAAAAGATTCTCTTCAGTTAAGGAGTTGTTTTTTTCTGGATTTTTTGTAGCCATGTATAAAAGTTCATCCCACATTTATCATGCATGGAGTTTTTATGCTTCACATGTTTTCCGTAGACTCAACGCAATTTTTTCTACGCATTTTTTTCATGGAAATGTTTGATAAACCTTTTTTTTTGTCGATGGAGGTCAAACTGGGCAGCTAGAATATCGAAAATGTTCTGAACAAAACATCCACACTGAGCACAATTACTCCGTTACTTCTGTGAAAGTCAAAACATTAATTTGTTCGCGAGAAACAGAAATTAAACACAGAGGCGATGTTGCACTTCGCATACACAAGCAAAAATGTGACCGACAACGCTACTGGGACAAACTGAATGAGTGAAACTGAGTCTAAAAAATTTTTTAAGTGACGCACACCAATTTTGAGTCTACACAACTGCTAAGTGACGCAAGACAATTATGACGCATTAGCAGTACCAGTTAGGTTCGAACCCGCTTATTTTGCTGCTGGTATCCTTTCCTACCTCTACGCTACAGAATTATGATACTTTGAAGCTAAAGTGCAATTTAGCATTGGCCGTACTTAATAGCTGGATCAAAATGAACACTTTCAAAATGAACACATTTTGTCGCAACAATTGCATCGCAACAATATTTGCGACTTAGTTAGGGAAAAATAAGAAAGTTCATGCTATAACACACGCTATGCTTGTGTAATGATGGTTAAGTGATCGTATGATGCACGCAGGTAGAAAATTTACCAGTTTAGTATTCTTGCTGAAAACTGGCGACTTTTTTTTTTACCTCTGGACAGAATTCTATCACTCTACCGTCATGCTAAAAATGGATATATAGTTGCTAGCCTTGCGATTTGAATCAGCCTGTCGCCAGTTTAACAGATATATTTTTCTAAAAATAAGTAGTGAATAACGTTATTTTGCTTGGTTTTACCTGGACAAACACTTTTTATAGTCTCATATACAATGTCAAACAAAACTTTAAAAAAATAAATCATTAATCAAATACTCGATGCGAAATATGCAATTTCCTTTTTACGAAGAACTGAAAAATCCTTATGTGATAGGAGGAATCGTATTTGTTGTGCTTTTTGGTATCATCGTGCTTTTTGGTTTCATCTGCTGGTGTTGTGTCAAAAAATGTCAAACAGGCGAGAAGGATGAAGACAAAGAAGCCATCGTAAATGGCACGTCGTCGGAAAAAAAGACAGAAAGGAACAGCAGTGCCGTGTCAAATTCATACCAACTAGAACAAACCAAGATATCGCGACCGGCATATACATTCGACAGCTACCCCACCTTTGCAACAACGTCGTTTATTAATATAAACGAACAGCGAAAACCAATACCAGAACCAGAATCAGCATCAGAAGAATCAGAATATGAACAAGAATCAGAACCAGAAACAGAAGCAGATTTGAATGATGACCCTCGCGTTCACAATTTACACAGAATGACAAAGGGTCAAGCCTGTGGGGAGGTGAGAAAGCTATACATGCATTATTACTACGAAGGGGAGAGGGACTTTACAGTCATTACAGGGTGGGGGCGTCATTCGAAAAACGGTCAACCTCAAATCAAGCCTGCTGTTATGAACATGCTTCAGCAAAACAAATATGACTATGAAGAACATCCGGACAATCGGGGCCGGATTATTGTGTATGTAAACTGAAACAAAAACTTTCCGTAGAGTAGAATCAACTTTTGCTAACCAAAGCACGTAAATAACAATATTGCGTTGAATAATTCAAATACAATTGTATTTTTCGGGGTTTTCTCATGCAAGCGTTTCTCTCTCTCTCTCTCTCTCTCTCTCTCTCTCTTCTATATCTCTCCCTCTCTCCGTCCCTCTCTGCTCTCCCTTCTCTCTCTCTCTCTCTCTCTCTCTCTCTCTCTCTCTCTCTCTCTCCCTCTTCTCCCCCCCCCTCTCTCTCTCTCTCTCTCTCTCTCTCTCAGATGACCCTCTCAGAGAACCAGATATAGAAGCAGAATCAAATGATGACCCTCGCGTTCACAGTTTACACGGAATGACAAAAGATCAAGCCGGTGGGAAGGTGAGAAAGCTATATATCTGTTATTACTACAAAGGGGAGAGGAACTTTACAGTCATTACAGGGTGGGGGCGTCATTCGAGAAGCGATCAACCTCAAATCAAGCTTGCTGTTATGAACATGCTTGAGCAAAAAATATATGACTATGAAAAACATCCGGATAATCGGGGCAGGACTTTTGTATATTTGTTCAAGATTGAAACTAAAATGAAAGCATATCAAGACCAGCTAGTCTAGCGGTAACGTACTTGACCTGAAACCGAAAGGTCGCCGGTTCGAATCCCGGTCATTACAAGTATTTTACTACTAAAAAACTTGGAATACACTTGATTTGAACCGGATAAAAAATGTTCCTAAGTCAAACTGATGTTCCTAAATGATGTTCTGGACATGAAATTAATTAGACTTTGGCCAGAATTGACTTCTAACTTCTGGCAAGCGTGAAAATCCCCACTTATTGGCAAAAGTAGTGACAATAAAGTCGCTTTCGATTTCGATTTCGTTTAAAACTTGATAACTTTGTTCCGAAACAGATATTATTCCGTTGTTTCCTCTTAATGATTTTCGATAATTATTGAAGGAAAAACATATATATTGAACAATCGTGTTCTCAATCGAGATACATACAGCCAATCTACAGACCGACGATATACTCGACCGACCCACCACAGACCGAACACAGGTGGAAACATGGTCCGCCGACAATCGACGACAAACCAGACGAAACCCTTGACGACTGAGTTTTTTGTGAGTGAGAACTACCTCAGTGAAAGGTGATTGTGCAATTTCACGAAGGTGTATGCAGACAGCTACCTGCAAGTGAGACAGGAATCTCCCCAACCGTTTTTGATGGCCGAAGTTGACAAAAAAAACTATTGTAAGACCCATCAAATCCATAAAGTTTTTTTATTGTGACCCATCAAATCCATTCAGTGTGCTAAAATGTTGATTTCATTATGTTTACCGTGCTCTTGCCAATAGTCTAACCCGAATACCCCACCCAGAAAATCCGAAATTCAAAAAAAAATCGAAAATCGAAAAAATTTGACTAAAAGTTAAAATTTTGGTTTCATTTGCTAGTTTTTAGTTAGTAGTCGATAACTCAAACCCGAACCCACCGTTCCGACCCGTTAGAAAAAAAAATTTTGAAAATTTTGGAGAAAATTTTCGCAAAAAATTGAAAAATCCGAAATCGACCCCAAATCGTCTAATTTCGGTAGTAAACTGACGTAGACGATAAGAAGAAAAAAAAATTTTCGAAAAAAAAAAA